TGACGACGGGAACCGGCCCTTTCCGACGACGATGAGCTCATACTCACCGCTCTTGCCGATAGATAGCACGGCATCCAGGACGTTTCTGATGACGACGTTACCGACGGGTCTTTCTTCGTAGCGTACTGAGCCTTCTGTTTTCTGTTGGAAGGTCGTTACTGCTTCTTCATCGAGTTCCTGGTGAAGAACAAATGGGACAGAGCGTGAGCTTGTTATTCAAGAATCTCAGTGCCAAAACAAACAGGCATTCTGTGAGCATTAGTATGACGTAAGCAGAGAATTTTTCTTTTCGGCTTACGCATTTTTATTTGAGAACCACTCCCACGAATCATTTCAGGCATTCTATAACTTACGACCTTTTTCTCACAAATCATATACTTTATAAATGTTAGAATATAAATTAGAAGATTCTGAGTTGGGTCCTCTAAATAACATTCCTTTCATTGAAGATTCTGACAGTCGAATGCATCAAAATTTAACTGTAAGCTAATTTATGGATGCTTGAAGCACAGTCTGAATAACTGACACTTTACTTTCATAAATTTCGAATATGTGGAAAAGAATGATAAATGTTCAAAAATTAGCGAAGCTTTGTGATGAAATCATTGAACTACACGATTTGCGAGAAAATTGAAGTCCAATGAAACTACATCTAGAAAAAATTGGCTTAGGGGAGCCATAAATTCTCAAAACTACATGCAATGATATCTAATCTAAATCCACACCACTAGGAAAACAACTGACGGAAGCCGATTTTTGTTCAGCAAAATCAGAACAAATCTTTTATGTCAAAGTCTAGTTTATATCTTTCATCCTAGACAATCAACTGTGTGAGACAGTTGATAACACTGGCTAACACAACTTTAACATCATTATTCATTACTCAAAAATGAATCTATCTACAAACACATCCAAGTTAAGTGATGATAAGCTGTAGTGGACTATGGAACTATAATACACAGTGTCTAAATTCATACACCAAAAATAATTTTAAAATGAGTAGAGATTTCCAAATTATTTAAAAGCGAACAATCAAATTAACAACTGCGAAAAAAGAAAATGTTAGAAGGCAGTTCAGCAAATTTTCAAAATTTTTCTAATGTGTATATATACTTCCTGATAAACACCTACTTGGTGCAGAATAACCTTAACTAATATTCTTGAAAAACATAAAATAAAGCAAATAAATCGACAAACCTTTTCTTTCTGGCGATCCATAGTTGCAGTCGAAAATGCATAACTCCTCTCCTTACACTTCATTGGCGAAGGCCTCAACATAACAACAGCTCTCTCCTCATCTCTCCTCCTCTCCTCCCCCACAAACCTCACCACCGTCACCCTAACTCCAGGATGCTCCGCCATTCTCCCAGCCAGCTCGAGCGCCTCTCTGTCATCAGGCCCACCAAAGAACACCACACACACCTCCCTCGCCAGCTTAGCAGGGCCCACCTGCTCCCCTCCTCCTAAGCTTCGGTCTACTAAGACTCCAACGGAGCATGGCGCTTCCTTTAGGATTTTTTGGTTAACGAGGCGCCAAGCATGACCTACATTCTCCATTGTTGATGTGTCATGGACTCCGATGGCCTTGTGCTTGTGGAACGGGACTACCAGCATAGATACCTATAAACAAGTTTGTTTTACCAGAGTTGACGCCAGAACTTAGCATAAATTACAATGTTGCTGAACATATAATATGGTAATGTTAAGATTTCGGTAATTTTTTTTTAAACTTAAGTGCACATCAAAACTTCAATTCTATCATGGCTTCATTTTCAACAATCCAATATCCATTTGTAGTACACTTACTTATGATGGGTTACATCACCAGTACTTAAGTATTATACGAGCCTAAGACTTCAAATTCTATCAAAACAGCCTGCATAAAAGCGGATTGTTCTTAACTATTCATGTGGGAGGGCGGAAAACAATTTGGAGAGTTCCACTGCCTCTGAATAGCTAAGGTCATCATGTTTGTGTGCGGACTGTCTAGATAGAATCTGTGTTTCAAGCTTACATAAATGATTAGCTAGCTTTGATTCAATAATTTAAATTTTCAGGTAAAGAAATTTTTAACATGATAGCTCAACAGGCTTCTAAGTAAAGTAATTCTAGACCTTAAAGATTATGCAAACCACTAACTTGATATCCCTCAATTTGATCTTCCAGTGTTAATTAATCCACATATAATCTGAAAACAAATAAAATTACCTTTTTTTCCTCAGCAATGTTACAAACATCCTCATGCATACTCGCCATAGCTGAAACCGCCGTCATTGACCTAACCTTAACTTTACTAAGCTGCCCATACGCCTCAAATGCTACATCAATCAACGATGCCGCCACACTACTCCCTCCATTTCTTTTCAACGGATTCCTAAATGGCAGCCCGTTCCGTCGAAACCTCCGAACCAGAACGATTGATGATGATCTCTCGGTGAGCTCAACCAAGTGCATTATATACAATTTAAGTGTTGTGAGTTTTTTGGTTCCTCCACCTCGAACAGTTTCGATAAGGTTGATGATGGCGGGAACGTCGCGTTGAGAGTGGACACAAGCAAGGATTCGGAGTTCTTTGGAGTCAATAGCGGCCGGAGGGGAAGAGGTGGTGGATGA